TAAATAAATGAATAAATAGTACAGATAGCATTAAAAAATTTAGTTACTTAACACTTCTAGGAGTTTAGATTCCAGGTTAAATAGAAATTGACTGAACACTATCGATAAACTATGTTTGATTTTCAACATAAGCAATATAATTTTAAACTCGTCTCTGAAGGTGAAAGGCATGCAATTTTGAATTTTGAATCCAAATTCTTTTCCATTTGACTACTGACTCCATTAATAAATTCCCAAGTAAATCTAGTAGGTCTTTACTTTGCATTTAAATTTCTCCTTCAAGAAATTTCAAATCAACAACAAGGTAAATTAATGAAAAACGTTCAGGTAGTTGCCTACTTAGCAGGAAAAAGATGAATTCATATTTCAATCTCATCAGAATAAATTATAGATTAAGCAAAGGCTAAAATAATAAAAATGAAACAAGAAAAATACTAGAAGAGCTTTAAAGAAACCAGATTTTACAGGTGAGAAAGGCATTTCTTAGCCTAAGCCAGAACATTTGTAAGATATAAATTTTAAAGCATCCATTAATACACAGCAAGTGATACCATAAACACAGGTAGAAGAAAATGACAAACTGAAAAAAACTATTGTTTGTTACATATATAACAAAGAATTAGTATCCACAATATGTAAATAATTCCTAAAATTAGTCAGAAAGAGACAAACTTAAAAAGAGGGTAACAAGGAAAGGAGCAAATTACATACCTACCCAGATAATTTGCAAAGAGGGCAACAGAGATGGCCAGCAAAACAAACTAGATATATACTTGTCTGTTAGATTTATCAACATTTTTTGCCTTTTTCATTAAAAGCATTTGTAAAGGATATAGGAAAAGAGGAACTCTCATATACTCCTGGCGAGATGTACATTGGTACAACCCTTCTGAAGGACAATCTGACAAAAGCAATCATAAGTTAAAAGTCAACGTCTATGAATGTATATGAAAATATTTATATACATACACCACCACCATAAAAGCATTTTCTATACATACTGTTTATAATTAGAAAATTGGAAACAAATGATTAAAAGGGGGCTGATTAAATTAAGGTTCATGTATGTAACAGAGGAGTATGCAGCTATTAAAAAGGATGTGGTAACTCTATAGTAGACATTCATAGGAAAATAAATTTTAAAATACTAAGATCCTGAATTATATATATGTCATGAGCTATTATATATAACAAGATCCCATTTGTGTTATAAAAAATTATGGTTAGTCATTCAAAGGGTCTGGTATGATAGATCCAAAAAGTAAAGAGAGTCAAGATTTTTCTTTTTTATAGGTTTTTGAAATACCTGAGTTTTCACAAGAAGTCCTTTGCGCATTAAAAATCTTAGCCAGGCACAGTGGCTCATGCTTGTAATCCCAGCACTCTGGGAGGCCAAGGCGGGTGAATCACCTGAGGTCAGAAGTTCAAGACCAGCCTGGCCAACATGCTGAAACCCTGTCTCTACTAAAAATACAAAAATTAGCCCGGTGTGGTTGGGGGCACCTGTAATTCCAGCTATTTGGGAGGCTGAGACAGGAGAATCGCTTGAACCCAGGACGGGGAGGTTGCAGTGAGCCGAGATTATGTCACTGCACTCCAGCCTGGGCAACAAAGACCAAAATTCCGTCTCATAAACAAACAAACAAACAAACAAACAAATAAAAATCTTTACACGTCCAAAGATATGGCTGTTCAATTAAAAAATATATATGTACAAAACTTAACGTGTTAATAGTGAACACACAAAACAGTAAAATAGATAAAATTATTCCTTCAAAGGTCACTTAACTTCTGGATCTACACTGTCCAAAAAGATGGTCTAATGAGACAACTGAACACTTGACAGGTCAGTGGTTCTAACTGAGATATGTTATCAGTATAAAACATACAATAGGATCTTCCTATGCAACATTAATTCAAAAACAAATTATCATAGTTGAAAAGGAAGAAATTAAAGAAATACTATGTAAAAAAGAGCCAAAATATCTTGTATTTTATTTGAAAGTCATATCTCTATAAGATTACACAACCTGGTACAGGATAAAGGACTTTGCTCTGATTGGAATTTAACAATTTAGGCTCTTAAATGTCCTAAAATTCTCTACAGCTAAGAAATTTTTATACTGGTTCCTTAAATCAGGGCCTACATTTGCTTACAAGTTTCTTATTTTCCTTGGCATAAAATTTTTTAGTTTTTACATTGCTTGTTATATTTGATCAGGGTCCTATTTAAATAGGCACAAGTTCAAGCAAAGATCAGATTCTGCTTTTAGCAATGTGTACTCAGACAGGAAGTATTAAAAGGCAGGCAGAAAATCCTTTATAAAATTACTACTTTCAATGTATTTTCCCATGTTGAAATGCTTCTGCAGTTTATAATTAGGCAAATTACTTACTTTAATTATAATCAATAATGTCGTTCATATTACTCTAAGAAAAGAATTATACAGATATTTACACCAGGAGACAATATACTAGAAATCAAGACTAAGTGACCATTACCTCTACTCTGTCAGTGTTATTTGTGAGAAATTCACAAATTGAGCAAAAAGTGTTAGTATCCTAGTACAGTATAAATATAGAAGGAAACACTTTCATAAAGTCTCTCTGAGCACTTGATACTAGTGCTCAGTTACTTCCATGCACTAAAAAAGGGGCTACTCTTCTTCCACAGAGAAGAGAAATTCCCTGCTCTAAAAAGAACCTAGTATAGGCCGGGCGCGGTGGCTCAAGCCTGTAATCCCAGCACTTTGGGAGGCCAAGACGGGCGGATCTCGAGGTCAGGAGATTGAAACCATCCTGGCTAACACGGTGAAACCCCGTCTCTACTAAAAAATACAAAAAACTAGCCGGGCGAGGTGGCGGGCGTCTGTAGTCCCAGCTACTCGGGAGGCTGAGGCAGGAGAATGGCGTAAACCCGGGAGGCGGAGCTTGCAGTGAGCTGAGATCCGGCCACTGCACCCCAGCCTGGGCGACAGAGCAAGACGCCATCTCAAAAAACAAAACAAAACAAAACAAAACAAAAAAAAGAATGTAGTATATCAAAAGGAGGTAACCACTACTACATATACATTCTGCACTTGGAAAATCCCTATATGTTGATTTTATCATTCTCTTAGTCATTCAATAAACATTGCTTCTACAATGTGTAAGGCATTACTGTACTAAAGCATTATAAGGAATATAAATTAAAAACACATACAAATCTTGCCAATAAACAGCTTATAGTATAATAGGGGAGAGAAGTTGGCCCATCTATCTTCTCCTTCAACTAGCAAGTAGATGAAATATCAGGGTCAATAGTTGTAAGCCATAAAAGCTGACACCTTAGTTAAGAGAAGTTTTGAAATATGTATTTCATGGCCAAATAATTACAACTGTAACTTTTCTATTTAAAGAAGGAGAAAATTTGAATTTCTTCTCTAGCTCAACATACACTTTTATAATTCCATAACATGAACCAGAGTAAAGGGTAAGATGGAAATGAAGAATATTTTCTTACCCTTTTGTGGTTCCACATTGGACACTTAAAAATCATACACAACCTAATCAAAAGACATAATTCATTAAAAAGGTACAAGAGACCAAAACTAAAAAAATCTAGACTATAACAAAATTTCCCAATTTACATTATCTTAATATGCAATTAATTTTCACCAGTAAAATACTATACTATGGGTACAAATGCATTGATTAGTTCTAATTACAAAAATGGCTAATATATAATATTATGTAGTGTTTATGACACACCAGGTAATGTTCTAAGTGCTTTGAAAATATAAACTTTTAATCTTTATACAACCCTATAAAATAGGTGTCATTCTCACTGGACAGATGAGAAAACAGGGGTTCAGAAATGTGAAGTAATTTGACCAAAGGTCACAAAGCTGATGAATATCAAATCCAGGATTCTGATTCAGGCAGTCTTGTTCCAGAATCATGCTCTTAACCACTATGGAATACTACCTGTATTATAGTATTACATATACTGTACTATAACTATTACACCCAAAACCCTTAATACTACCTGTACTATAACTATTATACCCAAAATCCTGAGTCATCAAAAAGAAGAGCCTCTATTTTATACAATGAAGAGGCATTTCTAAGAATAGTTAGGGACGAGCACAGTGGCTTACTCCTGTAATATCAGCACTTTGAGAGGCTGATGTGGGAAGTTCACTTGAAGTCAGGAGTTCGAGGCCAGCTTGGACAACATAGTGAGACCCACTCTCTACAAAATATTTAAAAATTAGCTGGGCATGTTGGCATGCATCTATAGTCTCAGCTACTGGGGAGGCTGAGGGAGGAGGCTCACTCAAGCCCAGGAATTCGTGGCTATAGTGAGCTATGATCATGCCACTGCACTCCAGCCTGGACAACAGAGCAAGACCCTGTCTCTAAAAAAAAGAAAAGAAAAGAAATTTGGAAATGGTTCATTTTGTAGTAACAATTTATAATTTACACTGAAATTCATTATGATAAAACTTTTCCCTGTGTTAAAAAGATATTAACTTTATGAAAAATTTATTTTAGGTAAGGTTGATTATATATACTCACACACATACACAGGTTAAAAGTTAGTTTCATGTGACATAATAACTAGCATTTTGAGCACTACCTGTTTGCCCAACACTGTTCTAAGTGCTCTACATGTATTATTGTTAAATTATCATAACACTATGAATTATGTACTATAATTACCCCAGCTTTACAGATGAGGAGACTAATCCAAGGGGAAGTTAAGTAACTTGTCCAAGGTCAGACAGCGAGAGCTGGCTTTGGACCCCACTACAGTCTGACTCCAGCACCCATATTCTTAACAATTTCACCATATTAATACGTCAAGATTAAGTAGTTTTAAAGGATACTATTTTCTCACAAAGTTCTTAATATGAACACTTAATAAGAATAATCACTAATATTAGTATTTTTCTTTTTAACACTAAGTTGGAAGCACAGTGGAACATTTATTTTTAGAAATATTATTAATTGGCTGGGCTCACGCCTGTAATTGACTGGGCTCATGTCCGTAAATTTTGGGAGGCCAAGGCAAAAGAATCGCTTGAGCCCAATAGTTCCAGACCAGCATAGGCAATATATTAAGACATCGTCTTTAAAAAAACAAAGTTATTAATCTCTTCTTTTTGTTAAATGTATATTATCAAAATTGTTACACTAAGCTCACAAACTTCAGAAAAACTTATGATGGGTAAGCTGCTTGTGACATTGAAAGTATTTAAGATTCAATTCTGTTTGATCCTAGAAGACCACATATCCATTGTTCCTTCAGTAAACACATGGTAAAGAGCCTAGAACAGAGAGACAGAGAACACAGTGGAGAAAGGGGAGTGAAATGTCTTTAATGACACTTACTATATGTGGGATTTTGTGATAATATACAAGGATGATTAAGACATATAAGGTGATGCAAAAAAACCATATTAACAATTATAGTGACAAAAATAAGGAGTATATAATTATACGTTGATTTATACAGAGTACCAAAGGAATACAGCATTGAGAGCTGTACCACTACCCGAGGGAATGGAGAAAGGCTTCAGAGAGAAAGTGTTTTTTGGGATGGATCAATGTTTCCAAAAGAACCGAAGTGCAGTTTGAGAAACACATACTTAATTAATTCTTTTCCTTAACTTTAATAATAAATTTACTCAACAAAAAAGTTTATTTTTGACTTGTAAATCTCTTAAAATCATAAAAAAGTAAAATCAGCTTTTAAAAACAGGTAGTCACCATATCATTGAATGTGCAGTTTATAATACAGCAAAGTTAAATACAATTTCAAATTACCTATTAAGTTAGTTGCTCATTTCTTTGATTTCATTTAGCATTGATGTAACTCAATGTGGAAGAAGGTTACATTCGTGCAAGTTAACATGGCTTAATGATTAACTATATTCACCTGCCAACCTTACCTTTTCTGTGGCAAATATTGGTATATATAGAGTTAAGAAGTCTAGGTCTGCTTCCAGAAGAACACAGTTCCACGTTGCTTGAAATTGAAAATCAGGATAAAAATGTTCACAATTAAGCTCCTTCTTTTTATTGTTCCTCTAGTTATTTCCTCCAGAATTGACCAAGACAATTCATCATTTGATTCTGTATCTCCAGAGCCAAAATCAAGATTTGCTATGTTAGACGATGTAAAAATTTTAGCCAATGGCCTCCTTCAGTTGGGACATGGTCTTAAAGACTTTGTCCATAAGACTAAGGGCCAAATTAATGACATATTTCAAAAACTCAACATATTTGATCAGTCTTTTTATGATCTATCACTGCAAACCAGTGAAATCAAAGAAGAAGAAAAGGAACTGAGAAGAACTACATATAAACTACAAGTCAAAAATGAAGAGGTAAAGAATATGTCACTTGAACTCAACTCAAAACTTGAAAGCCTCCTAGAAGAAAAAATTCTACTTCAACAAAAAGTGAAATATTTAGAAGAGCAACTAACTAACTTAATTCAAAATCAACCTGAAACTCCAGAACATCCAGAAGTAACTTCACTTAAAGTAAGTAGAAAATAAAGAGGGTTCATGTTTATGTTTTCAATGTGGAACATTAAAAAAAAATATTTCTAAGGCATGCTACTTGAAATACTTTGTTGCATTGTTGGAATACTTTTTTTTCCAAGAAAAATAATCTCCAGAAAATAAAATTTCCCATTATAATTTTGTTAGCTTTTGTTTCCCTAATGTTATATATGAAAACACTGAAACTTTACATTTTATATGAAAATTACAAATTGGTTAAGTAACACAATCTAGAACACTATGTCATTACACTATTGCAAATTACTGAAGGTAAGTAAAAATTTTAAAAAATTTAAAACTATTCTCTAGTGTTTAAAACAGATTAAAGTAATACAGTAAATGGAAAAGATTTATTCCTATTAAAATATGCTGGGCTTTTTCTCTTAATTGAAGTTCAGAAAAACAAATCTTAGAGAGCACAATTTAAATAAAATGTTAAGAACAAAAATACATGCTACTTGAAAGCAGCATACAAGGGGAAGGAATTGCCAATATTCATTTTTCAAATCCATTATTAGTTTAAAATTTTAGATTATGACAGTGTTACAGGAAATTAAAACTCTAATAGAAAAGAAAGAAGAAAGTAACTTATAACCAATCTAATCTCTATATTCAGAGTTTTGTAGAAAAACAAGATAATAGCATCAAAGACCTTCTCCAGACTGTGGAAGAACAATATAAGCAATTAAACCAACAGCATAGTCAAATAAAAGAAATAGAAAATCAGGTAAGTCAATATTTTAATGGTATGTCCCATCTTTCACACAGGTTTGTAAAAACATTGAATCCTAAAATTATTTACAAGCTTTAACTGGATCATGAGTAAAATTATCACATCAGCCTAACTGTTAAAATTGCAGGATCTGAAGCTAATAAACTACCTGCATTTAAACCATGGCTCCAAAACTTTGTGTGACCTTGAATAAATTACTTCACCTTTTTGTCTCTCAGTTTCCTCACATATACTACAAAGATAGTAAGAGAACTTATAGGATTATTGTAAGAAAATAATTAATTCATAGCAGCCAATGTCATCCTATTAAAATTCAAATTAGATCATGTTTCTCCTTGCTCAAAACCACACAATAGCTTTCCATCTCACTCATATTGGCTCTTTAGACCAAGATTACCCGACCCTTCATCATCTCACTGACTTCACCTCCTCTACTCTAGTCATTTTGATCGCTTTACCGGTATTCAAACACATCAAACATGCTGCCACCTCGAAGCCTTTGCCCTTGTTGTTTCCTCTATCTGGAATGCTCTTTTGTCCTGGTATCTACATGGCCCACTCTTTGATCTCCCTTAGGATCGTTATCAAACATAAAATTCTCAGTGAAGATTTCCAAGGTCACTTAACCAAAAATTACAACTGCCTGGTCCCATCCCTGAAAACTTCTACTTCCTTAACTACTTTTCTCCTGCACACTCACCTTTATTTAACATAAATTTTAGTTATTTATCTTTTCTATTCCTGCACTAAAATGTAAGCTCTGCGAATACAGGGAGTTTTTTTCCATTATCTTCATATTTTCCATTATTTGTATATACTCCAGAATATAGAATACTGTATGGCACATACTAGGCATTTCTGTTGAATTAATAAATGTAATGTCATATTCACACAGAGTGTGTGCTATAATTATTATTACTTGGATTACTAGAAATAGTGTGCCTCATAATTAAAGGTCAACATTCAACAACGTAATTCATCTACAATGTAAACAACTGGTGAAGTGAGGGAGGAAGCACTTGTTTAGAATAAAGCTATGTCAGAATCTAAGTATTCTAATATACAGTAAATAGTTAAAAAATATTAATAATACTCTTAAACAGTCATTCAAGAGGATTCAGAAAAAATAATATAAACTCAGAGAAACTGGTAAACAAAATCATTTTCAAGAGATATAAACCAAATATTATTACCAATTTCCACTAAACAAGCATAATTTTAGTAGTGCTGCTAAAAGGATTTTTACCAACTACTTTTGGTTTCCATACTTTCCTTCTTATGATGCTATTTTTCTAAATTCTTTTCAATTATATCTTTTACTATGATTAAATGAACCTGATCCCCAAAGCAATACGTTACTACAGTAATATATATTCTGTCTAAAAATAAAAATGTGTGAAGAAACCAAAACAATGAATTTCTGAGTTGGAAGAAGAGTTAGATCATTTGATTTAACTTTCTCATATTTAAATTAAAAAAACAAAACTCTAAAAATTTGAGTAACGTTAAAAATCACATAGTTACTTAGTAGAAAAGAGTAATATCCAGCAAGTAAACTTTACAATAGATCCTTTTAAATAAGGTCCTAGGAAATGTCATTTATGCCAGGATCAAAAAACTAACACTAATAATGCAAGATATTATATATTCTGCTTTTCTTACTGTCAATGAGAAAAACTATCATTCAATAAATTGCAAACCCAACACACTTAAATAAAATGTTATTGCAAAACTAATGATAAACTACTGAATATATGGAAAGTAAGCAAATAAACTTGCCAACCTGCCAACATCTACAGATATGTTTACAGGTCAAAAATTATCAAATTATCAAGAAAGCCAGGTTCAAATTATGTATTATGTCTTTAAAGCAGGTCTGAAGATCAGTAAGACCTAAAACTGAAAATTATTGAACTTAAAATCTGAACAGAATATCAAACATATTCTATTCATATAAAAAAAAATACATTACAACATTCTAAGCAAAGCAGTCTCTACTTTTGGCCTTGTTCTGTTTTCTGACCAACGTCTGCTTTTTTGCCTTGTTTTATTTTTTTAATTTATTAAATAATGTCCCTGATTAAATATTTTGAGAACAGGTAATCTGTACAATCTGAATAACACTGTTTATCTAAATATCAAACACCATAACATTATGAACTGAAAGACAAACTGTACTTTTGACATCCTTACTCAGATCTCCCCTAATTATGTATTCAGTATCATTTTAAAAAACAGATTTATATTCTTTTATCAGCTCAGAATGACTAATATTCAAGAACCCACAGAAATTTCTCTATCTTCCAAGCCAAGAGCACCAAGAACTACTCCCTTTCTTCAGCTGAATGAAATAAGAAATGTAAAACATGATGGTAAGACACTTTGGTGGGTTTCCTTCTTGAAGCTATTATCAAATTCCCTCTTCTTAGGACTTGTTCTAGACTAAAAGATTAAGAGATAGCCATCAAATACAATGGATCATCCTAAATTGGATCCTGGGGTTCTTTTTATACCCTATAAAAGATATATCTAAGACAATCACAGAAATATAAATATGGACTTGGTTATTAGATAATATAGAAGGTTTATTAATTTTCTTAGACGTGATCATGGTATCGCAATTTTAAAGGAGAACAACCTCCTGTTTAAGAGATACATGCTGAAATATTTAAGGAGTTAAAGGTCACTGGACTCCTGGCTGGGTGATAGAACAAGACTCTGTCTCTAAAAAAATAATTTTTTAAAAGAAAATAGTTTGGTAAGAATGATTCTTACATTCTTAAATCACATGCCATCTAAGAAAAATGCTTTAACATAAACATTACTGAAAAAAATGCTACATTTGCCACAATTTCATAAAATGTCAAGTGAAATCTCAAGCTCCAAAGATATTATTCCTATTACTAAATCTGATGTAATAACATTTTATTGATTCTAGGCATTCCTGCTGATTGTACCACCATTTACAATAGAGGTGAACATATAAGTGGCATGTATGCCATCAGACCCAGCAACTCTCAAGTTTTTCATGTCTACTGTGATGTTGTATCAGGTAAAACCTGTCTAAGGAGAATAGACAGTAGTTAGTTCAAGTTACTCAGTATGTATTAGGAAGATTAACCTGGTTATAATTGTTTTATACATATATATATGAAATATATGTAACATGAGTATTAGTATAAATCTAATACTTTTATCTTGCTTATTTATGTATTTACTCAATATTCCCCTTTTCCTCTAAAATAATCTGAAGTGACTATTATCAATAAGTTTACTATGCCAAAATTCATTAACTGCCCTTCACTTAACTTTTTGGGACCATAATAAATAATAAAATGTATTGCCATAACATTAATAAACTACCTTACAAAGCCACCAACTAAAATCAAGCAAACAAACAAAAAAGTGTTATTTACATCTGTCAGTATCAATCTACTAAAAATACATGATTTCATTCATTATATTCAGGTAGTCCATGGACATTAATTCAACATCGAATAGATGGATCACAAAACTTCAATGAAACGTGGGAGAACTACAAATATGGTTTCGGGAGGCTTGATGGTAAGGTGACTACATTCAATCATTCATTCATTTGCTAATCTACAAATATTTACTGAGAACCTATAGTGGACTGGGCATTAGGAAAAGTAGTAATGAAGAAGCAGCAGTCTCAGCCTTCATATAATTTATTATCAAACAATTACACATTTGTTAGTAAATTATATTTATTACAACTGTTATAATTTGAATTATATTTATGACAGTTACATGTCTGTTCTTAAATATACTTATCACAATTTAATTTGATGGCTTACAATGATCATAACTATAATTATTAAAGACAATTCTGATTAAATGTTATATAAGTAGTAACTGTTACAAATAAGCTGTGAAAAGAACCACTCCTAGCATTAGTCACTCTATTCTCTCATTAACGTTTTACTTATCAATTAATTGGAAGTTAAAAGGACCAAGAAACTCAGACATACAGTATAAATTTTAAAATTTCAATTATTTAAATGTAATATATAGAATGTGTGGCTTATAATGAATTAGTTAACTCAATGCAAATTATTCTGATTACAAAATAATGTTAAATAAGCAAGATAAAATAACAGATGTTTAAAATCCAAAAAGCACATACAAAAATCCATGAATGATGTCTAAGTACTCACTTATAAAGTAGAAGACATTCATTATTATATCAAATTTTTAAATGCTCAGTACTATTTGCCCATTTAAAAATTTTGTATTCAAATTACCCGTTAAAGCCCTACCTAGATGGTATACTCCGTGATATGTTTTGTAGCTCCAAATCTTCTAATAGTGAGTGTAACCCCAAAATAAAAGGTTGACAGGTAAGTTGAGAATACTCACTCAATTCTGGTAGGAAACTAACCCATCTGTACTTGTATTTACCAGCAATCCTTAAAATGAAGCTTCCTACTAACTCAATAGCAATAAGACAACAGTGACTGTTTAATGAAAACAGTAATTTATTAAGCATTTTACTAAATACTTTAATAAAAAGGATTGTGAAAAAAAATCTATTTATATTTGTTATTTATGTTTTTAATTCCAAATAAAAATAATTTTTAAAATTATAGAAAAAAGTTATTAAGAACCATGCTTTTTCATTTAAAATGATTTTTAAAGTTTCTTCCTGTCTTTTTGTACAAAGAAAACATATATTAAGCAAATACCAAAGGCCAGGTTTAGACTTATTATTACTCAAGTCTCTGGGAATACTTAACAAAAATCTCTTGACTGTATATGGATGTTAATAAATACCTGATAGTAAAGTTTATCCATATAAAGACTTACAAGAAAATATTCCTCTACCAATGACGAGACTTTAAAGTATCTATAATAATGTAACATATTTCACTGGTTAAATATGTCTTGTAATATGCATTATAGAAAGGATAATCAGACTTTCAGTTCTATTAATATTTTTAACTTTATTGTGCATATAGATATCTTCAATAAAATTGTTTTAAAAGGTATTATTTTAAGATACTCTAAAATGATCAAGGGATTCAAGACTAAACAACTCAATTAGTTGCACCAATAAAAAACACTTAAAAAAACAGTGTCCAACCTGTAGTTAATAATTCACAGATTTTTAAAACTTTTCTTTTCAGGAGAATTCTGGTTGGGCCTAGAGAAGATATACTCCATAGTGAAGCAATCTAATTACGTTTTACGAATTGAGTTGGAAGACTGGAAAGACAACAAACATTATATTGAATATTCTTTTTACTTGGGAAATCACGAAACCAACTATACGTTACATGTAGTTAAGATTACTGGCAATGTCCCCAATGCAATCCCGGAAAACAAAGATTTGGTGTTTTCTACTTGGGATCACAAAGCAAAAGGACACTTCAGCTGTCCAGAGAGTTATTCAGGTATCTTTTTCTGATAACAATACTTTATTTTCATATCTTCAAAGTATCTGCCCACATTATTAGCTATTATCTGCAATGACAACTTTTAAAAATCCGAATCCCAAATAAGCGTTTTCTTTCTAGATGAAAACCTCTTAACTATAATGAAAGTGTTCATTCTAGTTCAACCAGGTATTTTACCTCTAATCTTCCTCAGATTTTCTATTTTTGGTGGTTTACAGATTATTTATAGAGATTATTTAAAACTGGAACTTATACAGATTATTTAAAACTGGGATACATGCATCTAAAACACTATAATATTTATTAAAAAGGAAGATAAACTCATGGGGAAATACAGTAACAGTAACTACATACGAGTCTGTACCCACTAAACTGCGTATCTATCTCCTTTAGGAGGCTGGTGGTGGCATGATGAGTGTGGAGAAAACAACCTAAATGGTAAATATAACAAACCAAGAACAAAATCTAAGCCAGAGCGGAGAAGAGGATTATCCTGGAAGTCTCAAAATGGAAGGTTATACTCTATAAAATCAACCAAAATGTTGATCCATCCAACAGATTCAGAAAGCTTTGAATGAACTGAGGCAAATTTAAAAGGCAATAAATTAAACATTAAACTCATTCCAAGTTAATGTGGTTTAATAATCTGGTATTAAATCCTTAAGAGAAGGCTTGAGAAATAGATTTTTTTATCTTAAAGTCACTGTCAATTTAAGATTAAACATACAATCACATAACCTTAAAGAATGCCATTTACATTTCTCAATCAAAATTCTTACAACACTATTTGTTTTATATTTTGTGATGTGGGAATCAATTTTAGATGGTCGCAATCTAAATTATAATCAATAGGTGAACTTATTAAATAACTTTTCTAAATAAAAAACTTAGAGACTTTAATTTTAAAAGTCATCATATGAGCTAATATCACAATTTTCCCAGTTTAAAAAACTAGTTTTCTTGTTAAAACTCTAAACTTGACTAAATAAAGAGGACTGATAATTATACAGTTCTTAAATTTGTTGTAATATTAATTTCAAAACTAAAAATTGTCAGCACAGAGTATGTGTAAAAATCTGTAATGTAAAATTTTAAACTGATGCCTCATTTTGCTACAAAATAATCTGGAGTAAATTTTTGATAGGATTTATTTATGAAACCTAATGAAGCAGGATTAAATACTGTATTAAAATAGGTTCGCTGTCTTTTAAACAAATGGAGATGATGATTACTAAGTCACATTGACTTTAATATGAGGTATCACTATACCTTAACATATTTGTTAAAACGTATACTGTATACATTTTGTGTATTTTAATACTTAATACTATGAAAACAAGTAATTGTAAACGTATCTTGTCAGATTACAATAGGAATGAACATATTGGTGACATCGAGTTAAAGTTTATATTTCCCCTAAATATGCTGCCATTCCAATATATTCATGTAGGTTTTCAAGCAGAAATAAACCTTGTAACAAGTTACTGACTAAACAGCCTGACAAGTATGTATATATGTTTAAAATTCAATAAATGAAGACCCAGTCTTCTAAATTATAAAAATTTAAATTAGTCTTGCACAAATTAAATTATTCATCACAAAAGATGTATTGTTATTTTTAAGTCATTTAAACCCTAAATCCCTAAAGATTAGATACACATTTTTTTTGCCAGAGTATAAATTGTCAGAATTTATTTTTAAATATATTTTTTAAAACTACCAGTAAGAAATTTTAAATTAAACCCATTTGTTAAAGGATATAGTGCCCAAGTTATACGGTGACCTACCTTTGTCAATATTTAGCATTATGTATTTCAAATTATCCAATATACATGTCATATATATTTTTATGTTGCATATATAAAAGATATACACGATTTATGTGAATCCTATGTAAATATTTTGTACCAGAAAAGTACAAAATAATAAAGGTAAAAATAATCCATAATTTTCAGGACCACAGACTAAGCTGTCGAAATTAACATTGATTTTTTTAGGGCCAGAATACCAAAATAGCTCCTCTCTTCCCCAAAAATTGGACAATTTCAAATGCAAAATAAGTCATTATTTAATATATGAGTTGCTTCCACTATTTGGTTTCCTTTAAAAAAAAAAAACACTCTCATAGGACATGTTTCATTTTATTCCTTTTAGGAGTAGTAAATTAGATTTTTTCCCCATACAAAGCTTTCTTTTACCAGAAAGATACGTCTGGCAGAAGAGGAGAAAGGAGCTCTTTTCTTTATGGTTCACACGACTGTCTCCTGTCCTCACTACTTTGCTTAAAGTGCTCAAATTCCACCACTAACTCACAGTTGTCTAATCTAAGCAAAGTCTAATCCCCTTTGATCTCTGAGTCTACCTTCCCTTTCATCTCTCTACTACTTACTAATGTGAATATCTTTTTTTCAAACTTGACCTTCATTTTGTTTTCACAATACTATACTCCCCATGGATTTTCCGTTACTTGAATCCATCTTTATAACCCTATTCCTTTCTCATATTTAGTACTGTGGGCCAATAGACAACCTATAATCATCTTTTCTACACCGACTCTCAGACATTCTATCTGCTCTCACGGATTCATCTATGTACCATGAATAAAGTTCCAAAATCTACGTATTCATCCTAAGTCTCTTTCCAGTTCCCCTTCTTACATTGCCTATCTGCCATTTCTCCCTTTAATAACCTATACTTCACTCAAATTCAACATATCAAAAATAACAGGCCGGGCACAGTGGCTCATGACTGTAATCCCAGCACTTTGGGAGGCCGAGGCGGGTGGATCACCTGAGGTCAGGAGTTTCAGACCAGCCTGACCAACAGGGTGAAACCCCGTCTCTACTTAAAATACAAAAATTAGCCAGGTGTGGTGGCATGTGCCTATAGTCCCAGTTACTCAAGAGGCTGAGACAGGAGAATTGCTTGAACCCAGGAGGCGGAGGTTGCAGTGAGCTGAGATCACACCACTGCACTCCATCCTGGGTGACAGAACAAGACTGACTCAAAAAAATAAATAATTCACCAGCCCCTGACTGCTACTGCTATCTCTTTCTACCCACCTTTCCCTCCTTTCGACTCTGTCACACCATCTTTCTCACTTCTTTATATCCATTAATATGACCAGCATGTTCCCAGTCACAGAAGCCTGAAACCTGGAAGACATCTCTAGCTTTTCACTCAACTTCGTAAACTACTTCTTTTGTATAAGCCACCAAGTTCAATGCAATCTTCTCTTGAAACATCTCTTAATCTTATAAGCTTTCTTCCCCAAAGTCTGTCTTTAACTTGAGTGCTAGATTATATTAGTCTCCTCTTTCCTCCTAATTTTATGTCCCTCTCCCTGTCAATCTTCTGAAAAGAAATTTGTAATGGCTGCATACTGCTTGAACCTGTGTCTTTCAAGCTCATCTACTGAAGAAGTGTAAGAGCAGAGGATAATGAAAACAAATCCTTTTAGGTTCTAGAGTTACAGGATAAAATAACTTACTATATGCACAAATTTCTTTCAGAATCTTATTGGATCTTAGCTTAAATCTTAGAATTTTACTTTAAAATTGCATGTGAATTGTGTTTTATACTTTATAAATCTATCTTCATGTCTGCAGTGGCTCACCTGTAATCCTAGTACTTTGGGAGGCTGGGGCGGGAATACTGCTTGAATCCAGGAGTCCCAAGATCAGCCTGTGCAACATGGAAAAACTCCACCTCTACAAAAAATACAAAAATGAGCTGGGTGCGGTGGCAGGTGCCTGTAATCCCAACTACTTGGGAGGCTGAGGCAGGAGAATCGCTGGAGCCCGGGAAGTCGAGCCTGTAGTGAACTATGATCATAACACTGCATTCCAGCCTTGGTAACACAGTGAGACTCTGTCTCAAAAAAAATCTTCATATAAAAATATTTATTTTCCCCCAAGTATTCTAAAAAGTGATGCTCCTAGAAGATGTGTCATGTTTATCCTGAGGACTTGCATGTCCCATATAGTTCTGCCCTCACAAGAATGCATATGCCAATTAGAAGAGTATAGGCCTTCGGAACAAAATCCAAAATCCTTCCAGGTATTCAAGAGTCTCTATCACCTGGCCCCAAATTGCCTCTTTAGCCATTTTTTTCCACAACACAAACCTTCTGTTCTAATCAAAATTACTTTTAAACATTTCCTCCACACCTTCTTAATGTATTCCATTTGTCTAAAATGTCTCCCCACATGTTTCTGATTGGCTAGATTGTGCCGTATTTTAAGGTGCAGATATCTCAATTCTTCCACAAATATTCTAGTAAATGGCAGCTCATTCCTCTGAAACCATACAGAATTACCGTCCATACCGCTCAAATGGCACTTACTGAGAAAATACAGAGAAGTAAATATGGCAAATTATCATAATAAAAATTCTGAAAAATAGTACTAAAAGCTCCAAAAGCATCAAAGATAGTTGTTTCACTTGATTTTAGTGAATTACTGAAAAACTCCTATATTAAGAGTTTATTTTGAACCAGTATGAATTTTACTGAAACCAATTACACATGTGTCTCATTATGGGGTAACCTAGTGTAGTGTAATCTATTTACATACACTGTGTCATCCTGGAATCACCATATTTTCATGCTTGTATCTTTACTTCCTAATAGCATAACTCATAAACATCAATTAACTCATTCATTAATTTTAGAAATGGTATTCATTAACCAATATTTATTGAGCATCTACTATTTGCCTCCTTTAAAAAATGTATTCCAAATTTGTACTCATATATACTCTACCTTCTGTTCTAAGATAATCAAATTTCCTCGTGATTTTTTCCCCATCACTAATAGCCATAAACACTGCATTTATGTATGTACTACTGAGTGATTATCCAACACAGCTGTTTTACAAATGAAAAGAAAGTGACCAAACAATTGGCCCTTTTATCAAAGTCCAAAGTATCCTCATGGCAAATCAACTAGGGTAAAATTACTTAACTGGTGCACAGTTCAAGGTCATGAAAGTAGCACTAACAATCCCCTACTACAACCCTTAATAAAATGAGGTTTTAATAACATTTTAGGAAATATAAAATAAACTTAAGGATTCTATCTAAAACATAAAAGCTGTTTTTTCTAAATTCATGTTTAGTCCTAAGAAAAGTCATACATCTAATAAAATGATTGGGTATGTAATTTGAAAGAGCAATAAATTACAACCTTGAAGATGTAAGGTTGTAGCTATTCATCTTCAAATACGCAGCCAAACCTCAGTTTCCTAACCCAATAGATGGGAATAATAATCCTGTCACATCTATTAATACTTCATGGGGTTGTAATCATCAAGCCAGACACTGTATTTGAATAGCTTCATGAACTATAAAGTTCTAAACAAATGTATACACTTTTTAAAAACAGGATCTTCCATATCATTGTTCACATTCCTTTAGTAAATAATCCCTACAAATGCTTCCTAACTGAACATACTATAATCCTCAGGACAGAAGAACAAAACTGCGCTTCTCACAGTTTGCATCTGTTTCTGGAACTTTACTCCTTCCCTTTGCAATCTAAGATAACACTCCATCACCTTCAGATGCAAGCTCCTAACTAAATTTCTGGGTAGCTATGTTACAATGTTAAGAAATAGAGCTCTTGACTCAAGAATTTTTTTTTTTTTTCCCGAGATGGAGTCTCGCTCTGTCACCCAGGCTGGAGTGCAGTGGCACTGCACAGTGAGCAGAGTGATCTCAGCTCACCGCAGCCTCCGTCTCCTGGGTTCAAGTGATTCTCCTGCCTCAGCCTCCTGAGTAGCTGGGATTACAGGTGTGCACCACCATGCCCGGCTAATTTTTGTATTTTTAGTAGCAATGGGGTTTCACCATGTTGATCAGGCTGGTCTCGAACTCCTGACCTTGTGATCCGCCTTCCTCAGTCTCCCAAAGTGCGGCGTGAGCCCCCACACCTGGCCGACTCAATTTTTATAGTTAAAAAAAACTAGGACCAATTAGATAGAATAAAAGTCAGAGTGGTATAACAAGGACAAAACCAAAATAGCAGAGTATGTGGCAGTAGCTTGAGCCATCTACAAACTCTAAAAAAAACCCAAAAACCAATACTTTCTAAAGCAGATGACATACACTTGAATAGAAAAGTTCCTGAATTTTCAGTAATGTTCAGCTGAAATTTATACTTCCTTAAATTATGAATGTAGTAAACCAACCACAGCAGTATTAGCAGCATATAAGATTCTGTCATTAATAGAAACATACATTTATTATTATTATACTTTAAGTTCTGGGATACATGTGCAGAACATGCAGTTTTATTACATAGGTATACACCTGCTATGGTGGTTTGCTGCACCCATCAACCTATCATCTACATTAAGTATTTCTCCTAATGCTATCCCTCCCCTAATCCCACCCCGACAGGTCCCAGTGTGTGACGTTCCCC